TGTGAAGTATTAAAGGTGGAATAAGTGAGATATGTGTATATATATAGTTGAGGAAAAGATGAGAAGAATTGGTTATGTGTTTATGATAATAAATGATGAAAAGAGGTACACCTGTTGAAGGGTCACATGATTCTCGTCGATTTTCTGATAAAATATCATTATTATGATTTATACGTTTTTTTTTTTTTTTTTTTTTTTTTGGACAAAGTATTATGATTTATACGTTTAGTTATCAAATACCAACGAACATGTTCGCGCGCTATGAATATTTTTGAATATGAGAACTGTTCACATGTACGTAGCAATAAAGCCAATAAAGCCTGAGATATGGTTGTGACTTGGGTGCATGTTTTCATGTTTAGTCAGTGGATAATGAAGATCTCACAAATCATATTATAAACCATGGATGAGTGGATAGAAAAAAAGATAACGAGGAGGTTTCTCTCTCTCTTCTCTCTCTAAAAACTTTTCAGAGAGAAAGAAACTTATGACTTCTCCGATCAAAGTCCAAATCGTCGTCCGGGTTTCACTCCGGCTTTGCGCCCGGACAAGGTCCGATTCCTTTTCCAGCATCAGTCGGCTTTCATAGCGGCGGTGGCTGGCTTCAGAGCGGTTTCCTTTGCCGCGTTTTAATCGTTTTGGTGTTTAGGAATAATCCCCTCGACTTTCTTTGATTTCAAGTCCAAATCTAATTTTCTTAGCCAGAAGTGTTGTCTTTGGAAGCCTTTGCCTCTAGTTTCATCACTTTTATGGTTTAGATCTCAGATGGTGGAGGAATAGTTTTTCTTTAATTTTCTTTTGTTAAATCATTGGTTTACAGATTAGCATCATAGATGGTTGCGATGAAGGTTGATGTTAAGAAGTTTTGTTTCCTTGGAAAATTTGTATTGCCTTATAGCCGCCAGTAATCGGAGCTCCGATTTGATTACAAAGCAATTGTGGATTAGATAGATTTTCATACTCTTTTACCCGTTTTTGCCGGATCCAATTTGTAATTGTTTTAGGCAAGCGGTTGAGTTTGATTATCTATTCAGTATTTCCTTAAAGTTTGCAGTTATTGGTGAAAAGCAAAGAATCGATGATCGTGTTTCCCCGGCGTCGATTTCATTCACCGGAATCAGAGTCCAAGCGGCAGAGGACGATGGAAAAGCGTAACACTTTTCTCCCGCAACACGTGGCATTGTTATAGTCCAATAGCTTGACACGTTTTGGGTAGAGATAACTCTTCTTTTACCTTGTGATATTGATGACTCGGCCTAATGGGCTTTCAGTGATGTTTGTAAACCCAGTGTACTTGTTATAGTTTGAATAAAAAAGGTAACTTATGAGAAAAAAAAAAAAAAACCATGGATGAGCATGTTTAATTGTAAGAGCAAACATTGATTGTATATTTCACAACAAATAATAGTTCTAGGCCTGGGCATTCGGATTTCGGATCTGATTCGGTTCAGATTTATTCGGATTGGAGATTTTATGACCCGTTCGGATTTTATGACGGTTCGGATCGGATTCGATTCGGATAGTGTCGGATTCGGATCGGATTCGGATCGGTTTCGGATCGGTTTTCGAGAAAAATAACTAAAAAAAATTTCAATTTAGATAAAAATAGTTTAATTTTATTAAAATTTGGCTAAGGATTCCAAAAAATGTATACTTTTTAAAAATATAACTAAAAGCTTTCCGATATCTAGGTTATTTAGGATATTTTTGTTATTTGTTATAAAATTATAGCTAAATATAATTAATATTTTTGGATATATAATTTTATTTTTGGTTTTTTGGATATCTTTTCGGTTTTCGGTTCGGATCGGGTTCGGTTTGGATAATTTGGATAGGAGAATTCATTATCCGTTCGGATTTTGTGACTATTCGGTTCGGATTCGGAACCGGATTTTCCGGATCGGTTTTGGATCGGTTTTCAGATTTCGGATTTTATGTCCAGGCCTTTCAACATATATAAAACTAAACAAAAAAATAGTTGAGCATCGATTTATAACGAATATAACACATATATGCACACAGTTCTACCGTAAAAAAAAGACCAAGAAGCCCATTATTATTCGCTCTAAGTTGTTAACTCATGAAATGTTCATATTTAGTTTAGTGGATAATGAAGAATTCATAATCATATTATAAACCATGGATGAAAGTGGAAGCCCCCTTGGCCTATTGGTTGACCAAGGGTTAATTAATGCTTCTACACCAAGAGACCTGGGGTTCGAGTCCCAGATATTGCGATTTATTAATAAATTTGCAGATTAAAGGAGGCAAGTGTGCAGGAGATCTCCAGCGAAGTACAATTATAGCCGTTCGCCAGGATTCTACGCCGAGAGAGAAGTGTCGTCAGGTCATGGATCATTGAAGGTATGCGTCAAGAGCATGGAGAAGGAAGTGTCGTCTGTCATGGATCTAATAAGGGTCGGAAGGAATTGTCCGTTGTAGAATCGTCTATGTAACAGTTCTCATAATTTGCAATAAATTATAAATCTAGACGTCAAAAAAAAAAAACCATGGATGAAAAAATGTATAATTAGAAAAATCGAAGCATTAAATATGTAAGTGTTTGTGGTACGTATTATGAATAGAGAGAGAAGTTTTATACGTATAGATAAGGTATATATTATATGGTGTGGGACCAAAAAAGGAGTTACTATAAGGGAATAGTTAATAATTATAGTCATAAGTTAGAGCATCTCCAATGTGATGGACTCTCACCATTTTTTAAAAAATAAAATTTTCAAATTTTGAGATGAGAGATTTTGTTAAATTTTTTTTTATTTTGCAAAGTCCAATGGTAGACTCTCTTTGTGGCGTTCTCAGGAAAAGTTAAATTATTTTTTAAATTATTTTATTTCATAAAACTGAAAAATATTACAATTCATAACATATTAAACATACAATAATTTCATACATTTGAAAATAAATTTGCAAAAAAAAAAAACGACTAGTTATTCTGTTGATTGTTGCGAATTTTCTCCATATATGCTCAACCAAATCACTTTTCAATTGTTGATGCATATTTTGATCACGAAGTTGATTTCGCATGCCCATCATATTCTCGAGATTTGGAGGCATACATGTAGAATACGATAAATCGACTTGTGAAGTTTGGTTTCCTTCAACTTGTAGGAATTCTGAAACATTAAACTGAGTGTTGTATCCATCTCGTTCGTCTTCGACTATCATATTGTGCAGTATGATACATGCTTTCATAATATATCCAATTTTTTCCTTATCCCAAACAAGAGCTGGGTTTTTAATAATGTGAAAGCGAGCTTGCAATACTCCAAATGCACGTTCGACATCTTTACGGGCAGCTTCTTGATGTGTAGCAAATAAAGTGGCCTTCCGAGTTTGTGGTAGTCGAATAGATTGGATAAAAGTTGCCCATTTCGGATAAATACCATCTGTGAGATAGTAAGCTAAATGATACTCCCGTCCATTGACTTTGTAATTCATATTCGGAGCTCGACCTTGTAATATATCATCAAGAATATTTATATCGTTTAAGGTACCTGGAGGTCCAAAAAATGCGTGCCAAATCCAGAGATCTTGTGATGCGACCGCCTCTAAAACGATGGTTGGTTTTCCAGAGCCACGTGTATACTGGCCTTTCCAAGTGGTGGGGCAATTCTTCCACTCCCAATGCATACAATCGAGACTTCCTATCATCCCGGGAAATCTGCGTATCTTTCCAATATTGAGTAGTCTTCTCAGATCTGTGGCTGTAGGTGCTCTTAGATATTCATCTCCGAAGAAAGAAATCATTTCCTCTGTAAAATTCTCCAAGCAAGACATCGATGTGCTTTCACCCATACGGAGGTATTCGTCAACCGCATCAGACGCAAAACCATAAGCAAGCAAACAAATGGCTGCCGTACATTTTTGTATTGGAGAGTGTCCAAACCTTCCTGTAGCATCTCTTCGATGTTGAAAGAACGGGATTTCACTGGAGAGTCGATCAACAATACGCAAGAACAACGGCTTGTTCATTCGAAAACGGCGGCGAAAAGTTTGAGGTGGAAACATCGCATTATCACTAAAATAATCGTTCTATAAAAGGACGTGCCCTTCTTCGCGTTTTCTGTCAAAATAAGCTTGTTTCCTATTTTTCTTTGCCACCTCTTCGCCATTAGACAATTCGACGAACATAATCTCGAATTGTTGATCAAGTGATTGAGAGAAGCTTTCTTCCATGGCGTCGTCGAAGGGGGTACAAGATGAAGAGGCCATATTGTTTGGTAGGTTTAAATATTAAAAATATAGATTGGTGATTGATTGTTTTGTGGTAGAAGCAAAGAACAATGAAGGGAAATATTGTTTTTGTACTTGAAGCAAAGAACAATAATAGAAAAGATTGATTTATGAGATATCCAAAGACGATTCCATTATTTATAGCAATTGCAAAAAATACAAAGAATAAAGTTTGTGGTACACATTCATTCTAACTTATTCGTGGTACACAATTTTCAATAATTATTTTTGGTACATATACAAGTCTCCTTCTTTTCTTTTCGTCTTGGCACTGTCTCCTTTGGCATCCAGCAAAAAAACACTTGCACAAGTTAGTTTCCTTTGGCATCCAGCTTTCAATGGGGATGATGCACCCACTACCTATGTCTGAAATGCCTCCTCCACCACCACCCGGGGAGGCACCACCGCCTCAACCTGAGGAGCCAGAGCCAAAGAGACAAAAGTTAGATGAGTCAGCCCTTGTTCCAGAAGACCAATTTCTTGCTCAGCATCCGGTAATATTTTCTTCGACTCTTGATTCATTTTCTTATCTTTTATCTTTCTTCTTTCGTCTGAGTTGTATCTCACCTATTTTACACATTTTCAGGGTCCGGCTATAATCAGGTTACTAAGCCAAACGTGGATGATGGACATGACATTGAGATCATAGTGCAGCCGTTATCTGAAAACGTGGGAAGTTTGAAGGAGAAAATAGTTGGGGAGATGCAAATTCCAGCAAACAAACAGAAGTTAAGTGGAAAAGCTGGGTTCTTAAAGGACAACATGTCGCTGACACATTACAACGTGGGAGCAAGAGAAATCCTTACACTGTCTTTGAGAGAACGTGGTGAGTGAAAGAGATAGAGACCGTTGGTGGACACAGAGAAATGCTTTTTAATCTCTTAATTCTTCTTATTTAATAGATGGTTTTTATTGGTGGCCAAAGCTATATGTACTGCTCTCTTATGCACACCTCTTTATTCTTGGCTCATTATATCTCTACTATTACTGACTTAGGTGTGTTTTGGATGTGCAGCTAGTTTTGGGGCAACGTTTTGCTCTGTAATCTTAAAAGAACATATTTGATACTTTGCTTTGTGCATTCTTACTGTTGTTAAGCATCTTTAGTGAAGTTTTGTTTCTCTTCTTTGTAGGTACGATACGAGGATGCTGCTTCGCTTGTTTTCCACGGGCTCATCATTGTCGAAGGTACACACGCAATTAGAATAATTAAGATGTTAGTTGAAACATTGAGAACCTTGTAGGCTTTAAACGTGGGTTATCTGCTCTGGTTGTAGAAAATGTTCGGTTCTACGCTGATGCTGTCAACTCTAGAGACCAGGACTCCTTGTCTCGCTGTCTCGGCTAAGTTTGTTTCCAAACACGGGTTAGAGTAGAGTATGAGAAGAGGATTATAAATAATATCGTCCATAATGCTAATAGTTTAAGTTTTTGAAATGCTCACTGCTCATATCATGTTTTTGATAGAGTTCCTCTAAAAGTATACATTTAGACTTCGTGACGGATCACGGGCGAGGAGCTTGATATTATCAACGTCACACTCTCACATTACAGTCACAGGCGCGTAATGGGAGATCATTCTTCAAGGGATTGATCACAAGTAGAGAGATTAACAATCCTTGGTTTTACTTTTCAAAGCCAACTCATAGAATGTTTGCATTTTTTCACTAATTTGATTGATGCGTATACGGACCTATTAATGGCTCTCCAATATTTTGCAGCTGAATTGGAACAGATCTTGAGGAACCGTGGCTATGATTTCTGAATTCCTTGCTCATAATCATAACACTTTGCATAAGCTTTCTAGATTCGGTTGTTCGGTTATAAAACAACAAAATTGGTATAAGTTCTCTGTTTTGCATGTTCGTGCTTTTTGTTTTTTGCCTTTTTCCTCCTTAGCAAACCTCTTTGTTCTTTAACAAGGGAATAATCGATTGACGCTGGCCTTAAAAGCAAGTAAAACCAAAAGAGTTTTTAGTACCTTATCATGAAAATTTAGATGGTTGTAATGTAACGCAACAAATGATCTATTTATTCTTAAATTTGTGGTTGTTCACGAAAGGTTTGAGGTGATCTTCCATAGGTTGAATTGACTTGAACTCGTGATGTTTCTAAGACCTTTTGCAAAAGTGGATCGATCTCAGAAGAGCAAATGAGTTTTGCGTTTGAATCAACGAATAGTTAAAATGTTTGGAACACTGTTATTTCAAAAGCACTCCAACTCTAGAGTCAAAAAACATGATCATGCGAGACTTTGCAGAGACATCAAAAAAAAACGGAGAAAACTTTTGTCACATTACAGTATGTATCTCAATCACACCGTATTTCTTTTACTGTCGACTACAAAATGATTACAAATCAGATCCAAAGCGTTCTACCATTAGGCCCGTTAAAGGCCCAACAACCAACTGAATTCAATAGGCCTGGGATTATAATCCGAACCGAATCAACCGAACCGAAATTTCGGGTTTGGTTTGATTACATTTATAGGCAGAAAACCGAATGGATGTTGATTTTGATATCCATGGTTAGTAATTTGGTTCGGTTATTAACCGATAACCGATCGGTTATCCGAAAGTTTATATCCCTTAGCCCAAACCCAGTTATAACACCCACCCATGACCCAATAGTACCAAGATTGCTTAATGTTTTTTATTGTTACCAGCCCAAGCCCAATAAACAAAATGTCTCTTATCTCTACTAAACCTAAGTAAACGAGAATAGACGAAGACAACAACTTGATTCTTCAGTCCTCTGATCTCTGTCTCGATTTTTTGAGTCTTCTATCGGATTCAAAGGTAAGCTTCTCTGCTTTCATTCGGTTTGGTACTTTTGTTTATTGTTGTATGGTTTTGAAATCTTAATTTCGATTTGAGGTCTGATTTTAGGGTTCGTGGGAGAAACAAGTTTTGGGTGTTATTTAAATGGATTTCTAATTTCTGGGTTTAGGTTTTGTTTAGATTGATTACCAATTTCACACTCATGTTTTTTTTTTATCATCCAATTTCAGTAGATTTGTTAGTTTATACTTTCTAGAGCTGAGAGTTTAACCAATCAATTAGGTCTAAAAGATTTTGATTTTTTTTTTTTTCTGGTTGCAGAAAATGTTGAGCTCGATGCAGATACTGCCACTGGAGGCTCCTCCTACCGACGGGAAGTTAGGTCCACTTCCTCCGTCGCAATTAACTGATCAGGAAGTCGAAGAGATGGAGTTGCAAGCAGAGCAAAACAATTCAAATCAAGCTCCGGCGGCTGTTGCGACTCACACAAGGACTATTGGAATTATTCATCCACCTCCAGATATCAGAACTATTGTTGAGAAAACGGCTCAGTTTGTTTCCAAAAACGGGTTGGAGTTTGAAAAGAGGATTATTGTTAGTAATGAAAAGAATGCCAAGTTCAACTTTTTGAAGAGCTCAGATCCTTATCATGCCTTTTACCAGCACAAGCTCACTGAATACCGTGCTCAGGGTACTGATGATTCAGATGGTACAGATCTTCAACTTGATACTGCTGCTGCTGATGAGTCTGAGGCAGGTGATGCACAACCCGATCTTCAGGCTCAGTTTAGGATTCCTCCTAAGCCTCTTGAACCTCCGGAGCCTGAGAAGTATACAGTTAGACTTCCTGAAGGGATCACGGGCGAGGAGCTTGATATTATTAAGCTTACAGCACAGTTTGTGGCACGGAATGGGAAATCGTTTTTAACGGGATTGACCAGTAGAGAAATCAACAATCCTCAGTTTCAGTTTATGAAGCCAACACATAGCATGTTCACTTTTTTTACTTCTCTGGTTGATGCCTATTCAGAAGTTTTAATGCCTCCCAAAGATTTGAAAGAAAAGCTGAGAAAGAGTGTTGCTGATTTGACTACTGTTCTTGAGCGTTGTTTGCATCGTCTTGAATGGGATCGTTCTCAGGAGCAGCAGAAGAAGAAAGAAGAGGATGAGAAAGAGCTGGAGCGAGTGCAGATGGCTATGATTGATTGGCATGATTTTGTGGTGGTTGAGTCGATAGATTTTGCGGACGAGGAAGATGAAGAGTTACCACCGCCTATGACACTTGACGAGGTTATACGGAGGAGCAAAGCATCAGCGATGGAAGAAGATGAAATTGTTGAGCCTGGAAAGGAGGTCGAAATGGAAATGGACGAAGAAGAAGTTAAGCTTGTTGCAGAAGGAATGAGAGCAGCAAACCTAGAAGAGAATGTTAAGATTGAAAATGTACATGATGAAGAAGCACCTATGAGAATTGTTAAGAACTGGAAGAGGCCAGAAGACAGGATCCCAACAGAGAGAGATCCAACTAAAGTTGTTGTATCACCAATTACTGGCGAGCTGATTCCCATCAACGAGATGTCTGAGCACATGAGGATTTCTCTTATTGATCCTAAGTTCAAAGAACAGAAGGATCGGATGTTTGCTAAGATTCGTGAAACCACTCTTGCACAAGATGATGAGATTGCTAAAAACATAGTCGGGTTGGCCCGCCTGCGTCCGGATATCTTTGGAACAACAGAAGAAGAAGTCTCAAATGCTGTAAAAGCAGAGATTGAGAAGAAGAAAGATGAGCAGCCCAAGCAAGTGATATGGGATGGTCACATAGGAAGTATTGGTCGCACAGCAAACCAAGCCTTGACTCAGAACGCTAATGGAGAGGAGCAAGGTGATGGCGTTTACGGAGATCCCAATAGCTTCCCTGGTCCAGCTGCTCTTCCTCCTCCTCGACCAGGTGTCCCAATAGTCCGACCATTGCCACCCCCTCCTAATCTCGCCCTGAACCTCCCTCGTCCTCCCCCTTCTGCTCAGTACCCCGGTGCACCAAGGCCATTAGGTGTTCCGATGATGCAACCTATGCATCAACAACACCAGTTCTCGATGCCGGGGCCACCAGGACAGCCGCAGATGATGATGAACCGACCACCACAGATGATGGCACAGCCTGGTATGCATGTGCCACCTCCACCGGGATCTCAGTTTGCTCCTATGCAAATTCCTAGACCTTATGGTCAGCTTCCACCGTCTGCAATGGGGATGATGCAACCACCACATATGCCTGGGATGGCTCCTCCTCCACCACCTGAGGAGGCACCACCTCCTCTTCCTGAGGAACCAGAGCCAAAGAGACAAAAGTTCGACGAGTCAGCCCTTGTTCCAGAAGACCAGTTTCTTGCTCAGCATCCGGTAATGTTTTCTTCAGTCTCTTTAGACATTTTCTTATCCATTTTTCTTTCCTCTTAGTTGCATCTTACCTGTTTTATACATTTTCAGGGTCCGGCTACAATCAGGGTTTCTATGCCAAACGTGGATGATGGGCAAGTCATTGAGATCACAGTGCAGTCATTATCCGAAAACGTGGGAAGTTTGAAGGAGAAAATAGCTGGGGAGATACAAATTCCAGCAAACAAACAGAAGATAAGTGGAAAAGCTGGGTTCTTAAAGGACAACATGTCGCTTGCGCATTACAATGTCGGAGCAGGAGAAATCCTAACATTGTCTTTGAGAGAACGTGGTGGGAGAAAGAGATAGAGACAGCTGGCCGACGCAGGGAAATGCTTTTTAATCTCTTAATTCTCCTTTAGATGTTTAAATTGATGGCCAAAACTATATGTACTACTCCCTCGTTCACACATCTTTACTCTTGGCTCAACGTATCTCTACTATCTATGGAGCTTTAGAAGAAGAAGAGTGATTATTACTGACTTAAGCTTGTTTTGGATTTGCAGCTGAGGCAACATTTTCGCTCTGTAATCTTAAAAAAAACGAATGTGATACTTTCCTTTGTCTCTGTCTTTGTGTGTTCTTACTATGGTTAAGCTTTTTTTTAGTGCAGTTTGGTTTCTCTTCTCTGTAGGTACGATATGAGGATGCTGCTTTTCTTTTTTCCAAGGGCTTATCATTGTCTCAGGTATGCAATTAGAATAGTTTAGCCAGTGTAGTAATTTTTTTTTACCGTATCATTCACTTGTAGTATTAAACAAGGCTACATAAGATTGGCAAGCTTGACCAAAAAAAGATTGGCAAGCTTGAAATGATATGAGAAAATTAGAAAAACTGAAGCAGACTTCGAGTTTCTGTGTTGAAAATTCAGAATTACTAAAGAAAAGCAAAGTAGCTTATACATGAACTAATACAACATTCTGAAATGACCCCAACCCTCTTGGTGATCCATTGAGCTTATGGTATTTGACTTATTGGTACAAAACAAGTTGAATAAAAAAAACAGAGAATTGGATTTTGAATCTAATTTCATCCTAATTGAGTTTGGTTTGGTCCTATTAATGTCCTTAAGGCTTGATGGTTTCAAGAGAAGAAGAAGAGGAAGGTGATCGGAGACATGATTGTATATTTTTCCGAGAAGGGAAACAAAGACAAGAAAAGAAGACAACTCTCATAACTCTTTTAAGAACTTGTCCTCTCTTTGGGACTAGACAAGCTTCTCTCTCACCCATTTCTCTCTCTTTGCCCGGTTTATTTCGGTTTGGTTTAGTATTAGAGATGATGATGATGTGTCTCTGCAAGTTGGAACTGCCGACGTGAGTTTATTATAGTGAAGAAGAAGAGTTGGGAGAGTTAAAAGAACCGCGTGAAAATTCTCAAGACGCGTTGGCCCGTTCTTATTTTTCTTCTTATTGCAAATTCATTTATAATTTGGGAATTTATATATTTCTGGAATCTATATATGTATGTTTTGCATATAAGTGATTACTATAGGTTTAGTTTAAAGTACACTGTTCAGAGTTTGAAGTGGTCATAGACTTTCTTTCTTTCTTTGGTTCCAAGTTAACGCGTTTTCGGATTGCAACCATAATAATTTTATTTTCTAAGGATACTTTTACATATTTTTGTATTATACTCTATATGTGTGATTAATAACTAAAATATAATCTTTGGATAACCCATGAATGAGGCAATAATGAGATACTTTTTGCTTTGATAAGCGTAATTATTTAGATATATGCGTTTAAAATGAAAATAATGCCAACTTTTTTGTTCACAAATCCACAATCTACAAGTAAAACTATACCAACAAGTAAAAAATATACGAAAGGACTGTTTTTGTTTTTGGTCATAAAAAGAAGAAGAAGAAGAAGAGTATAAGCACACAAACGAGTTCATGACTCCTCTAGTTGATTCTTACAAGGATGCCTAAAGTCTCAGTTCATGCTTCTGTCTCGCCAATGGCCAAACTCCTGAAGCTTGAGTGATCTTTCGATAAAGGATTGCTGGTGATCAGATCGTCTATATTTGGAAGTTTTAGTAAAGGAGGATTTCTCAGGAGCTTCTTCAAGTCAGACTGAAGAGTGAGAATGAGAGTGAGAGAGATGCTCAATAAAACATGGAGGACAAAGAATCTACAAATTGGTACCTGAACAACATCTTGAAGATGAGAAACTTATTTTCCCTCTAACAGTCCAACCTTCTCAAGGTTTTAGATGATTCAGCACATAATGTGTTACTTGTCTTGTTTTCAAAACACTCAAAACCTGACAATTTTTTTGGCCAATATTCAGCATATTACTAAACTACTGACGAAATTGATGGGTTTCAAGAAAAGTATTATGGTTCCAAACCTGAGGAAATGAATCACGGACATCTTCCAAGAACTGTTTTGCTTCTTCTCCTTCCACCTCACTTTCATTGATTACAGTAGAAGCAATGTTACTGTTACCTGGGTAAAGAAAAGATTACAAGTAAGAGACAGATGAGGTTGGGAGCACCGATAAAGAAGAAAGTTCATTCTCAGGTAAATGTGGACCAAAGGAAAGGTTTTCATTTGAGGTTCAGATCAGATAGAAATAGATAACAGTAGTTTAGTCTTTATTTGTGAGATAATATGCAGAGTCTTAACGAATTTAACATAGAGATATTATAAGTTATAACAGAAAAGAGTGATGCATACCTAAAAAGTCATGCAATTGTATCCTATGGGCACGGAGAAATGCAGAGGAAATGTAACAAGCAGATTCCAGTCGCTTAAAGAACTGGTAGAAACAAGGTCAAGTGCCTCGTCTACTGATTGCATCAAAACATTAGCAGTACATTGTGTTATTCTCCCATCATCAAGCATCTCCCAGTAAGCTGCCTGGACACCTGATACAGGTAAGAGTCTCGAATCAATAGCCACTTTTGGAACGACAATAGTTTGACAATGAGAAGACTTTACTACGCTTAGTGAAATACCATTTAAGAAGCGTATACGTATGTCCATTATATTCCTAGGGCCAAGACTTCCAGCTTCGTACCCATTTTGAGGATTAACTTGTCTCCCTTCTAAATATTCCAAGCTTGAAATATGTTTTATAACTGTAGGCCAGTCAGCAGATCCAAGCTCCTCGTCATCTCCTAGATTTGCAAAAGCTTTTAGAGCAGTCTTCATCATTTCAAACTTCGTATACTCCAATATTCGTTTCTGTCAATAGAAAAACACAAACCAGAGGAGCATAATCATTATATTTCTGTAGCAGTAGTTGCAAACATTGTGCGGGTATGTACATTTGAAGGATCAGTGACAGATTCTGATTCAGGTTGATTCCAATCTCTAACTACCTATTATCGGTTTGTAAATCGCACAAACCTAAGCTAGTATACCCACAACGGCAGAAGGATGCAGTCATTTGTGCATGAACATAAAGACGGATGATCAGAGGTTCCATTATCTACCAAAATATCCTGTCGTTGCTTTTTAGATTTTAAAGTAGAATATAGGATTAACATCCTGACCTTAGTGGCCGTTAAAGTGTCCATGCGAAGAAGGTGCAAGAGCAATTGGGTAGTGGATCCATTAACAACCAAAGTTAGGAAAACAATCCCACCTGTGAGGAATAGAAACTGCAAAACAGCTGAAACACATCAAGATAACAAAAAGAGCCTCCAGAAAGAAATTCAAAAGTTGTTCATACTGTGTTTCAAAACTCACCCTTGTTCCCGTATCCGAACTGAGATATGGGTTTCCACTTGATTGCTGAAAAGTATGTCAGAGAAAAGGAAATGGGAACATGGATAGAAATAGTAGATCTTGCTCTTGCATGAATGAAATGTCATTTCTTCAGAACTCACTTTTACAGATAGAGCGAGCGACAGCGAAACAGCACCCCTTAATCCAGACCACGTGAGTATGATGGATTCCTTCCATGAGAAACACATGCAATGATATTGTTTTAATCGGCTATAAAACATTGACTGCAGTATTTTGTTTGTAAAATAACCCAGTAGCTTTCTGTTTTTAAATCTTGCAAGACACTTCGTACCTGAGTATAAAAGCTAATGTATTTGCAATATAAGCGGCCATTTCCCTACAAAAGTTAAAGGGCAGTCACAGACATATAATATATACGTGTAAATATTTTCCTTGGATATAACGAAAGAAGAACACTGAGTTGTGAAATACCAGAAGTGATGCAGACTCTGGTGACTGTCACCCTTAAATGCTGTCCTTGCAAATGCGGCGAAAAACCTATTACAATCATTTTATGAACAATGGCTTTTTAACACGATAAAGAGAAAGAATGGGATAATTCACCACGACTCACATCCCCAAAATCATGCCAGTCAAAATTCCAGAAACCCCAGCGCACTCTTGAGCCTGTACATGGTAGAAAATTCTTAGAGATATAAGATTCTCGCAAGTTGTGGAGAAGAGCATACAGTGTAATAAGCGAAATAGCTCGCTGAAAGTGTTACAGTGATCTGAACCACGGTGTCATTGAATATGAATTTAAGCCAAAAAACTGATGCAAATCCAAAAGCTAGGCCAATGCCTAGACTAAAAAAACAGAACAACATAAGCAGGGAAAAAAGGCACTGACATACTATACAACTAACAAAGGAAAATAATCCATACGGTCCGAATGAATTTTGAACAAGAAATCTGATGATAGAACCCCAATCAGAGTTATGTCCCATCACCATCTTGAAAAATAACTGGAAAACCACAACCGATACCCTGAATTTTCTAAACAAGTAAGCTTGAGCATATATGACAAACATCACCTTGAGCTAAAGATAAGAGTTTGACATGATTACCCATCCATCGTTCATGAGAGATTCCCCGTCAATTAAAGTGGTCATTTTCTTACTAGCACCAAGCTCCTTTAGCAGAGCAACAACAGCCACCAAGCAACAATGATGTTTTCCAGTCCCAGTTATATGGAAAAGTGAGCTACAAGAGCATAACTCGAAAAATTGTAACTTAAAGAAAGGTCACTGATTCACAGTCCAAAATGTTGAAGCTAGTTATAAGAGCTCCGAGACAAAAGGTAGAAATCAGAACTCCAGGACCAGCAAGCAGAACCATTTGGACCATACACCTCTACAAATGATCAATAGCAGGAACCAAAACAGAAAAAGAACTTGATGAAAGTAAAAACATGGAAAATGAGCTCTCGCAGGGAGAAATACAGCCAATAAATAGTAGGTCAGGGTTTATATCATTCCCTGTAAAATTCCATTGCAGCAATATTCTGAATTTGCTATATTTCTAAGCTCGAAATCAAACAGTAGCTTACATATACGAATTCCCAAGGTTATGATTAGTTCCATATTCTAAATAAACAAAACCAAAGAATCTAAATAATATGTAGCCAAGAGTATTGAATCATGAAACTATTGAGAAATAAGTTTCATGGGTCTTCCTCTGGCATTTGATCTGGGCTCCAAGCAGCAGTCAGGTCACCATTAAAAGTGGCGCCTGCTGTTGACTCGTTAAAAATGGAGCCTTTCTCGCAAAACATAAACATTCGAAAACGCACAGATCTATAAGAAGAAGTTTCAAACGAAAAGAGATGATTGATGCGTAGAGAGAGATAAATTGTGTTTTGTGTTACCGGAATAGTCGCTATTCAGTTCATTAGATAATAACGGGCTTTTGAAATCTTTATTGAGCCCAATAGTCACTCATTACTTGGGCCCAAAATTGTTATTGTATAAACTAGACCTGGGCTTTCGGTTAACCGTTCGGTTATCAGTTAGGTCCATTCGGTTTCGGTTTTTTCGGTTTCAAAATTTAGTATCCATATTTTGAAATTTCGGTTCGGTTCCGGTTCTTTCGGTTTTAAAATTTAGTATTCATTCGGTTATTTTGCTTAGGTTATTTTCGGATATTTCGGTTATTTTTGAGTATTTTCGGATATTTTTGGATATATTTCGGTTATTTTAGAGTATTTTTACTATTTTTATATATTTTCAAGTACTTTTGATTATTTGGTCTATAAATAACTAATTATTTTAAAAATATAATTGTATTTCGGATATTTCAGTTATCCGAAATATTTCGGTTCGGTACCGATTCGGTTACGGTTATTTCGGTTATAGAATTTAATATATATTCGGTTATTTTCAAATTTTCGGTTCGGTTCGATTTTTTTTGCTTCGGTTTCGTTTCGATACATTCGGTTCGGTTTATTTGCCCAGACCTAGTATAAACAAAACGAGGGCTTGTTGAACCAATCTCAAAAGTCAAATCACGTCCTAGTTTTGACTACGAGCGATGTACTATTTGGTAAGGTTTTGCAATTGTTTATAAGAAAATCAGAAATTTTTGAGAGAACTAAAATATAAATTAGGGAGATAGACACAAATAGCCCCAAAAAATTATTTTTTTTCAAAAATATCACTTCATTTGAAAAGTTCCATAAATAGCACCATAAACTTTAATTTAACTTAATGAAAATATAAGATAGAAAACAAAAAAGAGAGCAAACACTAATCTAATATTAAATTGAATCAAAATTGTTTTTAAATAGTGGAAATATATATCCTAATTTGAAAATAGGGAACCCAAATATAATACCACAAACTAATATTAAAATAAAAATCTTTTTTAAATAGTGGAAATATATACCCTAAATTGGAAATAGGGAACCCAAATATAATACCATAAACTAATATTAAAATGAATCAAAATCTCTTTTAAATAGTGGAAATATATACCCTAAATTGGAAATAGAGAACCCAAATATAATATTTTAAATTTATTTCTAATTTATTTTGTTGAATAGCTTTTATATTAAAATTGTGGTATTATTGAAAAAATAAACTAGTGATAAAAGTTTTAGAACAAAAACACTAATAGTAAGTTAACTAGTGCTATTTTTGGAAGTTTATGGAGTTTGTGCTATTATTGTCAATAAAACTTGTTTTAGGGCTATTTTTAGGAATCTATATATACATTTTTATAGTACTTTTTTGCTTTAATTCTTTTGGATCCGGGTTTGACCCGGGTTTTAGTCTATTCGGATCTTGGATTAGCAATTTAAGGGATGTTGTCTTAATTTCAAACTAATAAATGAAGTCATGTTGTCTTAATATCTTTCATATTAATGACCCTAATAAATAGCCGATTTTAATGGAAAATCGTTTTCATATTTATGCTCATAATAAATGTCCAGATTTTAACAATATATACATATATTATGAAATTATAAAGAAAAAAACGTATTTATTTTTTTAACAATATATATATATATATATATATTATGTTAATAAATTTGTTTAATATTCTAATAATAAGCTATGTCATTTTTCTTTTACAATAACAGATTAAATATAGGCAATTGCTCATTTAAATTGCAATAAATTTAAAATCAAAATAACAATCTACATATCTATTTTTGCAGGGGGTTTTTGTTTTTAATAATTTGGATCCGGGTTTTACTCGGTTTTACTATATCCGGATCTTGGATAAGACATTTAAGGAAATCTAAAAAAACCCGTCATTAATGTAGATAATTACACATATATTTCGGTATAAGCATATTCCAAAAATCTCTCCCAAATCAAAGATGTTACGTTCAAAAATTGTTGCCAAAAATCTCTCGCTTTCCTTCTAAAATCTCTACCATTGGCTGTCATCCCAACTAATTACTCATAATTATCTTTCCTATATTTCTTTTTTTTTCGAGATTTGCAAGAAAATTACTCAATTCCAATAATAAAAATTTTTGAAGATATTGTGTACTTGATCAGCAAGATTTTAGGAACTCACTCACCCAAAACCCTATATTATTCTCAAAACATTATAAATACCTTTCATTAGTCTAATAAAAACTCACCAGTTTTACAGAAAATGAGAAATCGCAGATGTGATTCAATCTGTACGGACTCCGTGAAGAGCTAGGAGACAGTGGTGAACCGGGATCTAAACCTCGCTGACGATGTGAAGATGGTGACGAGGAGGAGATCGTAATTCTTTAGGTTTCGATTGGCAAAACAAGACGATCGGCGACCCAAAGCTCCACCGCCTGAAACGCAACATCGAATTGATCACACCGAATATCTTCAGATTTCGGATATGCTCTTCCGGTGGTAGCTTCAAAATACACGCCGGGAACTCCTTGATACGCTACACGGAGAGTAGATCCATGTGTTTTGCTGCAGCTTTGAAGAAACAAGACTCAGATCGACGGAGCCGTTACTGTGACCGTTAACGACAGTGACTTCATCTGCTAAACCACCGATGATTGAGTTTGAACTTTCCGTTTCTAAGTTTTTCATTTTGGGTATATGATCAGAGAGTTGAATAAAAACAAATTGGGCTCTGTAGGTCTTTACAAAATTGGTAGACATGATTCTTTGTTATTGGGTTCTAATACTCTATGTGTTTATTTTTTAATTATGTGAACTAATGAAAGTTGCATACTTAAATTTTTTTTCATGGCAGTTCTAAACATATTATTTTTAATATTTGTGATTATTTAACAATAATAGGTTAGTGTTAATTACATGGATCATTAAGGTTTGAATAGTGATAAAATAATTAGAAAATACAAATAAAATAACAAGGCCGGTGCAAAACTATTAATTCAGACCTTAATTATCGGATCAGTTCAAGCTTTAACCCATGTCTTTTTCTGAAATTGCTAAAAATAAGTAATGTTCTCAAATAAATCCAAATATCAAATCTTCATAAATACATTAAATACGTAAGATTTAAAATTATGGAGCAATCTTTTCTAATTAAATTCAAAAATTTCTAATTGATATATTTAAATTTTTTGGCTTTTGTTTGCCCATTTAGCTATGGTTTTTGAGTTTTTATAAAATAGTTTTAAATATTACGGGACGAATTGAATGACACGGGTTTGGTTAGGATTGATATTAATATAAATTTAAAATATCACTAATACATCGCTATAACACATATTAAATCCTCATTTTATTATTTAAAATTTAGCATACGGTATACCGCGGGTAAAATCAGTATAAGACGGGTTAAATCAGCATCTTATCCAAAATCATACAATTAAATCTATTGTTTTTATACTACGTGTATAAAATTTCGTCTCACAGTGTATTATACATTTAAATTAAACAAAACAATAGTATATATCTATAAAGTATCTTAAAACAAAATTTAATAAATTTTTCTAAAAAAAAAATATAGACCCGCGGTGTACCGCGGGTTAACATCTAGTTTCTCTATAAATTAACATCTATATTTATTTATAACCATAATGGTTATCACAAGTTAACCATCATTATTTATTATCAGAATTCATATATTATTAATTGCAATCAGCTCGTATGTCTAGACCATATAACTTTAGTTTCACTCATTGCACCATATTTCACTAATATACATTAAAAACTTAATCAAAATCCAAAATTTAACTACTTTCATCTTTCTAAATCTTCCACGAAATTTAACTAACTTCTCACGTTGGCTTAGAGTTTTCAGGAAATTCGAAGGATTAAAAGATAATGAGCAAATAAATCAGACCTAGGGATCCGAGAACAATGCCGATGACGAGAAGAACGACGGTGTACGGAACTCTAGTGCCGTTAAACAAATGTCTACACGCGGTGCCGAGAACCAGTGAAGTTCCCGCAAAGATGAAATTGCTTTCTCCGGTGACTTGTACGGCAACACCGCGCCGATTATACTCGTCATCTCCGTTAGAAAGAAACAAAACGATATTATCGTGTTTTTTTCCTCAGGGATAAATTTATTTTAATTACGGTGAATGATGCATTTTTTTGTGTCTTATGGAAATTATTAATTTACTGAACCAAAACCACAGCGAGACCGAACCGAATTTGATTCGTTTAAGTGAACCGAGATTGGGTTTACAGGTTTTCTTTTTGGTTTAGTCTAGTTCTCTATCACTAATTCTAACGAAAATTGAGAAAATCTGTATATACATTTTGATTAGGTTTCTGTTTTTGCTAGATTTTAACGTACAAGTTCTCGCTCTTACTGGATTAATCAAGTTTATACTCGAGGACTTTGTTCCGTAGTCCATACTTCAATTTCTTGCTAATTCACTTATAAGGGCGTGAATGGAGACAATAAAAGTGGTACGATTTTCTGTATTTTCTCAAAAAAACGCTTTTATGTTATCACTCACACTTTTTTTTTTATGATTTGCGTTTTTAATAAAACAATGATGAAATACGCACATGGAACCCAATGACTCACAAAATTTAAATTTGTGCAATATCGTACGTAATTTGTGCAACAGTCTTATTTTGGCTATTGGAGCAGTTTTAGATCCAAGACTTAAAGTAAAGATGCTCGAAGTAGCTTATCAGAAAGTAGATCCCACTACTTCAAAATCCGC